ACAGTGGATTCCCAGAATCTCATGATTAAATTAGATTGCTTGACCTGCTCCGATTTTAGGTCTCAGCCAACGTTATATTGAAACTATTTGTTATTGAACTTTATGGAAAAAATTACTTTAACCCAAAGGGTAATGAAAATGTTTTATATATAGACTACCAGATTTATGTTTCTAACTGCACCTAGATATGGAATCACATTTTAAAAAAATGTGCTTTGTACAAAATGATTCGATAAGCATTGAAGAAGTTGAAAAACCAAAACCACAAAACCAAACAAAAACCTCTTGGATAGGTGTCCTGGCTGAAACCAGGACAATAGGAAAGAAATTCTGTGATATTTCATATTGCACCAACTTTACTTTTCCTGTAGTTGCAGAAAGTAACAAAGAATTTCTTGTGTAGGAGGTTTTTCGTTTGACTTTTTTAAAGCATACAGTTGAATTGAATGTTCCCCTTTTAAGAGTTACTCAAACAAAGGGAAGTGCTCTTGGTCTGTGTAATTCAATGGCGCATCAGGGCAAACGTACAGTTAGTATGTTACCAAGCTACAAGAAAAAGCCACGTTCTTTCTGTGACACACTTCGTGCTTGTTTTTCAGTTAAATCTACCTTGAATTTTCCTGGTCATTAAGCAACCCTCATGCTTTCACTTTGTGACCCCAGAAATAAACCTGGGTAGTGAACAAGCAGAGTGATAAAACAGGAAATCCGTAACGTTGTGCCTAAAATGTGAACATAAGTAGCAGGCACTTTGCTGAAAAGAAAAGCCATTGAGCATGGTTGAGATGCTTTTACAAGTGCTGAGACTATGTTTTTGAGTAGTTGAAAAACAAAATTGCACATCTGCTCTTCAGTATAATCCTTTTCCAATAGATGTTCCATTAGATGTCTACAGGTAAGTGAATTTCCAAGAGTCTATTTTACAGACCCTCTCTCTATTTTGACACAGAGGTGCTCCGCAGGCAGTTCAGTAGTGCCTGTGTCCTTGTCCGTCCAGCCTTGGAGGTTTGCTCAAGTGGTCTTTTGAAACACTGTTTGGGAAAACTGATTGCACTTTCTGTCCTGTCCTTTTTTGTTTTCTCCTCCCAGCCCCCAGGTAAAATGCATCTCGCTCTTTCTGTTCTTTTCTTGGAGTCATGTCTGGCAGGTATTATGGTAAGCACAACCGATTCCCATAGTATCAATTTAATGGGAAATGTAATAGCATGATTTTCTAATGGGATAAGCTATAATAAATGCTTAGTGTCTGAATAATACAGAGCAGATTAATAAAAAGCTGCTGTTTAAATAACTGAACCTTCCATTGAAGGACCTTAAAGAAAGGAACTTAAAGATGAACTTGGAAAAAGACCAAACACATTTTGCATGTCTGTAATAGGGATTTTTCTAAAGCTTCCCTTGTTGATTTATCTTTGAGGCAACAGTGCTTTTCCATGGTCTTCTTCCTTCTCTCTGTGGGAGGATCTTCAGAAAGTCTTGTGAGGGACTGGGTAAGTGACATAATGAACAGGGGTCATTAAAAGTTGCCTTGAAATCTGGAGATGCTGCTAACATTTGGCTGCCTGTAGTATGACTTCGACTAGATGCCCATGGAGGTGCAAAAACTGCTCCGGTCTTTGCCCTGAAAATAAGCAGGGAATACAAGGGAAGGAGAGAAAGAAACTTGACATAGGCATATCTACATTGCAGCTTCTTCCATGAAGCTGCTGTGTTCTGATGTAGCTGCTGAATCATCTTCAGTTTGGGGCAGTTCTTCATAACCCACGTGCCCCTTGTGATGAAGAGAAATTATTAAACTTTGCCCAAGTAAGCCGTTTATCAAGTTAACCCATTATAAGACAAGTATACTAGTTCTTGTAAGCATATCCTGGTACTAGTAGTGATATTGTTTATATTAAAATAAAGTACCAGTATTATTTGAAGTAGTTTTACTGCTTTTTTGTTTTCCTTTTTTTTTTTTTTTTTTCCCTTTCCCCTCTTCTCCTTGCCACTAATTGCTGGATGACTAGCTGAATTTAGCATAGTAGAAGGTTAATAACAGTACTGGGCTAATGTATTTCCTGGTGTCTGTGCCAAGAAACTTGCCTGCTTGATCACTTTGTAGTTTGGTTAAGGGCCAAGGGATCACGGGTTATAAGTTTCCTTCCCTTGTGATCCTGGAACTCCACGTGGTGTATGAAACAGCAGCGAGAACAGCCTGGAGGCTGGCCCTAAACACTGCTGTGTGAGCAGATTGGGCGTCGGGGGAAGCAAGCTTTCTTAAATCATCAAAGCATTAATTGTGAACTAGTTTTGGCAGCTGGCCCTTTGACGTCGCTTTGTAATGAGGGGATGGAGTTTGCGGGGGCAGCATCGCTGGGGCTTGTCTCTGGGCTGAGATAGGGCTGGTGGTTCCTATGGACGCTGGAGGAGCAGCTGGATGCGGGAGGGTTCTCCTAGCCTTGAAGGTTCTCAGAAGGGTACCCAACACTGCAATACAGCCTGAACCTTTAATTAAGGTGGAATTTGCAATCAAAACTTTTTGAAAGGGACTCAGCCCCTGCT